AAGTGACCCCCTTCAGTCAATAGCTTGTGGCACCTCCATTAGCAGCAATAACTTGGACTAAATGTCTCCTATAGCCAGTAATCAGTCTCTGACATCTGTTTTGAGGGATTTTTGCCCACTCCTCCTTATAGAACTCAGCCAATTGAATGAAGTTTGAGGGGTGTCTGGCATGAACTGCCCGCTTCAGGTCCTGCCACAGCATCTCGATTGGATTTGGGTCAGGACTTTGACTTGGCTAATCCAAAACACAAATCTTCTTTCTCCTGAGCCATTCTTTGGCAGATTTGCTTGAATGCTTTGGGTCGTTGTCTTGTTGGAAGACCCATTTTTGGCCCAGCTTTAGCACCTTGACTGATGGCCTGAAGTTCTGTTCAAGAATCTCCTGGTATAGCTCAGAATTCATGGTTCCCTTAATGATGTGGAGTCGTCCAGGTCCAGAGGAGGAAAAGCAGCCCCAGATCTTGACATTCCCACCACCATGCTTGGCTGTTGGGATAAGGTTATTTTGGTGGTAGGCAGTGTTGGGTTTTCACCAAACATAGCGGTGTTGATTGTGACCAAAAAGGTCAATTGTGGACTCATTGGTCCAGAGAATGGACTTCCAGAAACCCTCAGGTTTGTCCAGGTGGTCTCTGGCAAAGTTAAGACGGGCAGTTTGGTTCTTTTTTGACAGCAGAGGCTTCTTCCTAGCAACCCTCCCATGAATGGCATTTCGATTCAGTGTTCTTCTTATTGTTGAAGCATGCAGTTACCTGAGATGCAGCAAGGGAGGTCTGCAAATCTCTAGATGTTATGTTTGGGTTGGCTTTTATCTGATTTATTATTGTTCTTGGGGATATTTTGGAAGGGCGTCCACTTCTAGGCCGAGTTGCTGTCATGTTAAATGCTCTCCATTTGTAAAATATTTGCCTCACAGTGGACTGATGGAGCTCAAATCTTTTTGAGATGATTTTATAGCCTTCCCCAGGCTGATGTCCTCTGAGATATCCTTTCCTCTCTGCATGGTGTGATTTGCATTCACCTGGATGGGTAACACCAAACTGACTAGGTTTCTTATCTCTATTTATCAGAGTCCCACCCAAACTATTTCCTAACAATCTCTACTTTGATTGGTTCATTTGGTAGCTAATTATTTACCCACCTGTTTCTACTTATCTACTTGATTTAACCAATGCAACTTGGTGTTCACTTATTTTTGCACCTGCACTAATTCCTTTTTAATTTTGTTTTTCTACTACACGCATGATTTCCTCTACACCAACATATGGTATTGGTAAATAAAGACTGGTTCTGATTAAATAAAGATTTCATGGTAAAAACGGAAAAAATCTGTAATTGCACAAGGGGTTCACATACTTTCAAGCAGCACTGTATATCAGAAACATTTGGAAAATCAGATTTACATCTAGCTGATCATTGTCTGCAGCTGGTTCTGATCGTAGTGTAGGTCTAATGAAACGGGCAGGGAGGGTTAGCTCGTCCGTGGTGGTCGGCGAACCCTCAACCTTCTGGCCCGTAGCCATCGACCGTGCCACAGAAGCATGCTGAAGTGGCAAAGTTGATATGCATGTTTATAAACACAGGGTCGCTACAGTTATTGTTATTTGTGTTCGTAAACATTATTTTGAGTTAATTCTATAAGAGGAGAGGGTGTTAACTTTTTTTGCAGTTCAAGGGGAGGGTCGTGTGAAAATATAACATTGGGGAGGGGGGTGCATTTTTTTAATGACACCTCAAGTTGTTTGTTTGTTTGTTAACCGTGAGGAATGAGATCTGGCTGTCACGCCCTGGCTCGGGGGACTCTTAAATGTTGAGCCAGGGTGTGGAGTTTCTGTTACATTTTCTATGCTTTTGTTCTAGATCGTTTATATCTATGTTGGCCAGGGTGGTTCCCAATCAGAGACAGCTGTAGCTCGTTGTCTCTGATTGGGGACCATACTTAGGCAGCCTTTTGGCATGTTAGTTTTGTGGGATCTTGTTCCGAAAGGTTTGTGTTGTAACCTAGGACTTCACGTATTGTTTGTTTATTGTTTTGGTTTGTGTTGTGTACACAAATAAAGAATGTATGCTTATCAAGCTGCGCCTTGGTCCGCTTCATCTGTCAACGATCGTGACACTGGCTGTTCTTTGTCAAGGGGCACTGCAAACAAAGAGGTAAAGTTAAAGAGGGAGAGTGTTGCTGGGATGTTTAACTTTCCCACGTTTGCTTTGGCAGAACACCTGAGATCAGGGGTATACACCCCTTTTGCCCTGTTTTTACTCAGACAGAATCCAGGATAGCTGGCTTGATATGAGTTTATCTAGATCTAAAGGTTGTCAGTAGATACACAATACAAGATCCTCCTCATAGGACAACATACAAACATGTACATCCACAATAATGGACTATGTTGTACTTTATTTGATAAACCTTTCAAAGCAACACTAGAAGCCTAGCATCGACTTTGTGAATTGAGGCCATGGCAAGATATGATGTTGTCCTTCTGGCTAACAAGAGTCTCTCATGACAGACTGTTACATTTTTATAACGTCTGTTTTATAAACCTAAAGTCTGTTCAGATTAATGCTGGAGAATCCACTATAAAAGGCCCTACAATTGTGAAGTGAAGAATGGTCAGACGATCTAGAGAGACTTATGTGACCCTTCTAAGATACACAGGTACAGTATGTTGTTATGTCATATTTAAAGATAGACTCAGCGATATGACGTAGATGCACAAAGTGAACAGCATAGTGGGTCAATTTCCACAACAACTAAGAGTGTTGAAGCGCAAGACTCAACCTCTCGCTGGTTTGGTCCCGTGGCTACCACGCTGTAACAGAGTGAAGCGAACCCGTGCACATACGCAGATATAGTGATGTGTGTGACTGTCTTGCATCTCAATTACTGCGGTGCTGCTCGTGGTAACGTCATTTGGCTGAGTCTACCTTTAACTAGAAAAAGTATGTCAAACTGTGAATAAGGCACAATATATTTTTTTTTACCATTAACATTTTGTTATGCCTTCACAGTGAGGGATCTGAGCGTTTGCCTTTCGACTCCATGACCCGCGGATTCAGTGAAGTTCACCGTCTCTCCTCATTTTCCTCTGTGACCCAGCCCACATACAGTGGGGAAAAAAAGTATTTAGTCAGCCACCAATTGTGCAAGTTCTCCCACTTAAAAAGATGAGAGGCCTGTAATTTTCATCATAGGTACAAAAATCCAGAAAATCACATTGTAGGATTTTTAATGAATTTATTTGCAAATTATGGTGGAAAATAAGTATTTGGTCACCTACAAACAAGCAAGATTTCTGGCTCTCACAGACCTGTAACTTCTTCTTTAAGAGGCTCCTCTGTCCTCCACTCGTTACCTGTATTAATGGCACCTGTTTGAACTTGTTATCAGTATAAAAGACACCTGTCCACAACCTCAAACAGTCACACTCCAAACTCCACTATGGCCAAGACCAACGAGCTGTCAAAGGACACCAGAAACAAAATTGTAGACCTGCACCAGGCTGGGAAGACTCAATCTGCAATAGGTAAGCTTTCAGGGCGGCAGGTAGCTTAGTGGTTAAGAGCGTTGTGCCAGTAACCGAAAGGTCGCTGGTTCTAATCCCCGAGCCGACTAGGTGAAAAATCTGTCGATGTGCCCTTGAGCAAGGCACTTAACCCTAATTGCTCCTGTAAGTCGCTCTGGATAAGAGCGTCTGCTAAATGACAAAAATGTAAATGTATAATGTAAGCAGCTTGGTTTGAAGAAATCAACTGTGGGAGCAATTATTAGGAAACGGAAGACATACAAGACCACTGATAATCTCCCTCGATCTGGGGCTCCACGCAAGATCTCACCCCGTGGGGTCAAAATGATCACAAGAACGGTGAGCAAAAATCCCAGAACCACACGGGGGGACCTAGTGAATGACCTGCAGAGAGCTGGGACCAAAGTAACAAAGCCTACCATCAGTAACACACTACGCCGCCAGGGACTCAAATCCTGCAGTGCCAGACGTGTCTCCCTGCTTAAGCCAGTACATGTCCAGGGCCGTCTGAAGTTTGCTAGAGTGCATTTGGATGATCCAGAAGAGGATTGGGAGAATGTCATATGGTCAGATGAAACCAAAATATAACTTTTTGGTAAAAACTCAACTCGTCGTGTTTGGAGGACAAAGAATGCTGAGTTGCATCCAAAGAACACCATACCTACTGTGAAGCATGGGGGTGGAAACATCATGCTTTGGGGCTGTTTTTCTGCAAAGGGACCAGGACGACTGATCCATGTAAAGGAAAGAATGAATGGGGCCATGTATCGTGAGATTTTGAGTGAAAACCTCCTTCCATCAGCAAGGGCATTGAAGATGAAACGTGGCTGGGTCTTTCAGCATGACAATGATCCCAAACACACCGCCCGGGCAACGAAGGAGTGGCTTCGTAAGAAGCATTTCAAGGTCCTGGAGTGGCCTAGCCAGTCTCCAGATCTCAACCCCATAGAAAATCTTTGGAGGGAGTTGAAAGTCCGTGTTGCCCAGCGACAGCCCCAAAACATCACTGCTCTAGAGGAGATCTGCATGGAGGAATGGGCCAAAATACCAGCAACAGTGTGTGAAAACCTTGTGAAGACTTACAGAAAACATTTGACCCGTGTCATTGCCAACAAAGGGTATATAACAAAGTATTGAGAAACTTTTGTTATTGACCAAATACTTATTTTCCACCATAATTTGCAAATAAATTCATTAAAAATCCTACAATGTGATTTTCTGGATTTTTTTTAGTTGATGTGACCTATGATGAAAATTGCACAATTGGTGGCTGACTAAATACTTTTTCCCCCCACTGTACGTACTCACCACAGAGTGGGCGTGGTTCTGGGAGGACGAGTACGGCCAATGGGTCCAGTACACATCCATCGTAAGTGGTGTGAAACACTCAAACAGGCTGAGTTACAAGGACCAACAAATTTGGTGTTGGAGAGAGTAAACTGTTATTTTTTTTTCTATAAATCACAGAAAGAGATGCACAGATTGTCATCCATCACCAGTGAAGACCTTGAGAAAAGGTACCAGGAGGATCAAAGTGCTGTGGTGAAGTTCACTGCAGGCCAGCAGTCTTATGAGCTGAGTTTCAGAGGTAACACATCTCAAACTGTTGTGAAAAACAGCTCTCATGTGCAACCTACTTACAGTTACAGTTAGGGCCAAAAAGGCTACTCTTATACACCCCTCAAATTCTAGTACTAAAATCAGCGGCAGGTAGCCTAGATATTAGCGATGTGGAACAGAAGCTGTAAGGATGCTTGTTAAAATAGTTATTCTTGTAATTACAGACATGATGCAAAAAAACGAAAGATAAGGCACTATAAGGATGGTCAGACGACGTCCTGTCTTTGTTTCAACTGCAGACACTCAAGCTGCCAGAAGCAGGTAATATATGGATAAGGATGAACTAAGAGGATGGGCACCATGTTCTGTATTTAACCTAATAAACACTCACAATGACATAATCAAGACTGCAGTACCTCTCACCCACTATCCCGTTCTTCCTCATTGAGCACACCTTATCACACACTTTCTCACTCATCATACACCCCCACTTACACAGACTCTTCCACACTCTCGGGGTCTCCCCACTCCACATCTAACACTACTTCTGACACATCTTCTACTACTATCACATCATCTAGACTGCAGGAGTTAATTGAACGATTTGGTGGTCAAAGATCAACCTGGTGACAATTTGAAGTGTTTAGAAAGAAAGTGTTCAAATTCTGAATGACTAATATGCATTGTTGGTGTGTAAAATCCTTGCAACTCTTACAGCACACAATAATTATGTTCAACTAGAAAAACGGAATATGATGAGCATGTTTCCTTTACTCTGGGAGTTAGATTTCCGTGTTTTATGTATTTTCAACTAAATAAACTCAATGACCAATTGAAAGTCATTGACTGGTGATTGTTTGATTACTGGTGAGGAGTAATGCAGCGGACTTGGGGTGCAATTCAGCAACATAACCCCTAGAGGGAAGCAAACCCCTTAAAATAAGTAGCACTAACATTACACATTTATTTTAGGCAGTGGTGCATTCAGAAACTACTATGACTGTTTACACAGGCAGCCCAATTCTGATTATTTTGCCACTTATTGCTCTTTTGACCAATCAGATCAGAATTGGGATGCCTGTGTAAACACTGCCAAAGGGTACAGTAAGCAACCTTGGTCCTGTGGCGCATAAGGTATATATGAAGGCTATAGTTTTGTTCAATCACGGCACCACACTCATCACCTGTCACTGAGCTTGGTGTAGAAACTATCAGCCCAATCCACTGATTAGGTGATCCAAGTGGCACCACAGTGGCTGGCTTGATTGAAAGCTGATAAAGAAATGTGTGAGTGAGATATGACTAAAATGTCACACCCTCAGTTAAACTAATAATGTATGGCTAATTATTACACCCTGAGACTGTGTGAAATGTGTTAGAGTGTGTGAGCGTAGGGCAAGTTAAGAGTATGAAATTGTGTTACCATTTAGCAATGCGAGTAGGAGTTAGACCAGATAACAAAGGACAAGGAGAAACCAAGATAAAGAGGCCTCCCAATTTAGGGAGGAGAGAAACCGTTAGGCTTGTGTGTGTGTGTGTGTGTGTGTGTGTGTGTGTGTGTGACCTGATGGTCAGGAGAGCAGTTTTCCAGTGGAAAACTACAGCCCGCCTAAAGAGGGGTGGGATTTTTCCTCTGACGTGTGCATATACAAATATTGTACGACCATTTCGTTTCAGAACGTTCTCATGAATAAAGCCTGATGATTGTATGCTGGGCTGCTTGGTCTGATTATTAGAGATTTACAACCTCTGGGATACAGACTGAGTAATAAGTTCATTTTTTAAACATTGGGATATAAATTCTCGTAACAAAAGCGTTATCTGGCTCCAGAGGTAGTTATACTCTACGTGTATCTACAATTAGGTTGAGGGATTCTTCCATGTAATGATTTTAATATGTTCCAAATGTGTACATGTCCAGAGTAGACACAAGGTGCCATGCAAAGGCTGTGTTACAATAATATCAAATGCATTTTAAGTATGTAGATGTTAATTTATTTAATCACACTTACGCAGAACAAAACAATCCTTAATGATGCAGTTTTGATTCTTATGTGGTCAAACTATAAAATTAATACAATTAATTGAGCTACAAAGGACATTTCAATTTCAAAATAAAACCATGAATTAGCTTACAAAGGGGAAACGTTCCATTCTCCAATCATTCACAGTAAGGTTATTATATTGTCTCACAATTGTGTGGATATTTAATCTGAAAACCAAAATTATAAATACAATTTATTGATACATATAAAGGTAATTTCACCCTAAATTTCAAAATAAAAAATAGACTACCAATGCTTATAGATTATCTAGTGATGCCATAGATTTACTTTTTGCCTTCATTTTAGACAACTGTGATCTTCTTGTCCTTGACGGAGGTGCGTGTGGTATGGAGGTCATAGAGCCGACCCAGGGTGGTGGGTTAGGGACGTAAGTCAACAGACCTGGCTGAAACGATGGATGTGTCAAGGAGTTCAGGGAATCAAACTGTGCAGAATAATGCGTTAAGGTAGGTCTGGGGGTTCTCTGCCTTGAAGGGTTTGAAACAGAGGGAATGGAGGGGGGCCTGGGTGGGTTTGAGTAGTGAGAAAATAGTGTCTGGGTACTGAGTGTGGGCTGGGCAAAGGCCGGTCCTGTTGGGGAAGGAGATCTGAACCTTGCATTGTTGGGCAGCACAGGGGTGGCTTGTGAGTGTAGCATGACTGGAATAGGTTGCCAGTTTATGTCGTGGTGGCTCTGGTTTTGGACAACATTAGGTGGTGGAACATAGGTCCCAGGCTTGGACCCTTCCCTGTACTGAATAAGGTACTCTGGGTACACCTGGTGCTTCCCGATCACCACAAATACAGAGGGGTTGTAGATATCATCCACACAGCTGTCATAGAAGATTGTGGGACTTCTGTCGTTTGAGGGTGGGCAGAGGTAGCTGGAGTGTCCTTGCATGTAATTTCCCACCAGCACACGACAAACAAACATGGACCTGACTCCTGACTGGCTGGTGTAGCTGTGGGAGAACTTGGCATCCTTGGAGAAGTAGCTTCCTGGAAAGAGATGGGTTAGAATTAGAACAATCACAATGACAGTCACAGTGACTGTGAGACATTACAAAGACATTTGTTTTGTCAACTTTTCCACTGTATTTCCACAATGTAACATGAAAGAGCATAGCAAAAAAGATCTCGTCCAATGCCATTTCCACATAAAATAACAAATTCTAATATAAACTTAAAAATCTATTAGATATCACATGAAATGCAGAATTTACCTTGCCCATACAGCGTTCCTTGTGTTCCACCAATCCTCCAGTCTATGTTCTGCAGGCATATAGCGTCCACGTGTTTAGAGTCTGTTCCATGGAAGAGCTGCTTCTCATTCTCCTTCCCTGTGTTTGTCTTTCTCATTACATCTCCTTGCCTTGGGAAAGGAACAGATTTATTTGTCAGTATCTTCATTGGCATGTCACCTCATAGCGTTTGCAAGTGTCTGCTCTTTTGCTACTAGAATCTAAGGACCAGTTAACATGTTACATCTGTTTGCATATGTTATGTTGTAAACTGCTTTGATTAACGCAGACAATATGAACATATTTCTTGATTAGATTACATTTCTTTTGCATGAGGAGTTTGGATTCTTACCACGAAAAGACCTCCCACAGGATCCGATTCTGCACCCTCTCAATACTCTTCACACTGAAGCCAGTCATAGTTTGATGGAAAAGATCCAGAATATTCTTGTACTCAGCTGAGGAACTCTGCAGAGCAACCCTCTAGAGAGAATGCATTTGGACAGAACACCTCATTTTTCCAATGCGAATTAATAGATTTATAATGCACTGTCTTTACATTTCTGACCAGATGGAAGATCTTATGAGTTAAAAACGTAAACAATTATTATGAACCTTGAATCCAGTTTCAGGTACTGAAGATTTATTCCAGTGACTGGGTAAAGCTTTGGAGATCAGCAGGCGGTTACCAGAGTCAATTTTGCTGCGGAGGAGTAGAGAAAGTTAGGCAGCATTATAAGAAAGTAAAATCACTACAGTATAATCTCATCCACCAGGCAGCTCTCTCTACAAACTTATATCCAATAGCAGTTTGATCACGGGGACCGAGGTTAGTGTAGGCTACTCTACAAGGTCTCTTACCAACGTGGGTTGTCACTAGCATCATTTGTATCCCTGATTGCCTGGATGTTGCGGTAGGTGGACAACATGGATGGCCACCAGTTCATTAGGTACTCCCCTCTGCTGCAGGGTGTTGAGCGGGTGGGGCTCGTAGAAGTCGTGAGACCTGCCACAGTCCACGTCCGCAGCACAGGTTCCTGTAATGTAGCGCTCACAGACGTGGAGTCTTCTGCAGCTCTCCTTGTCAGGACAGTAGCCGTACTCTCCACTACCTTTGTTGTATGTGAAGCAAACCTGGAGATAAATACAGACCACTCCTGATAAGGGCTTGATAAGGACATTGGATAAGTGCAAACTCTGTTTAAGTGCATCAGTCCCAATTCAAATACATTTTTTTTTTAACTTGCTACAGATATCTGCATGCTCAGTTTAGTACACATACATTGTCTCATAGCTACGGGTCGGAATACTTACGTAAATAATGCATTTCTGTTTTATGTTTGTAATACATTGGCAAACATAAAAAAAAAAAAAAGTTTTTGCTTTGTCATTATGGGGTATTGTGTGTAAATTGATGAGGGGGATAAATTACATAATCAATTTTAGAATAAGGCTGTAACGTAAAATGTGGAAAAAGTAAAGGGGTCTAAATACTTTCCGATTGCACTGTATATAGGCCTATGAGGCACATACTGGGGGTATAAGGGCGTTGTCATTCTGCAACAGTAATGTACACAGCTCCTTCCTGTCCAGTTCCTCCAGGTGATGCTCTCTCAGAACTCTGATGTTGTGCTCTGATGTCAGCTCATGGCAGAGACGGCATCCTTGTCTGCAAATCACAAGAAGAGCGAGAGGAGATTTCATATTTAGCTCTTATTGGGGATTTATTATTCTCCTAAATTGATGGGATGACTAACTTAGAAAGAATGCATTCTTGACTGGGCTAATGTACGTTGTGACACCTGGCAAGGCTGTGATTGATGTGAAGAGCTGTTTTAGGGGGTAAAAATAAGATAAGGATTGTGTCTTCAAATGCTAGACTATAATAGTTATTTGTGATCTATGAGCCTTCCTTGGACATAGGAATGATGTCTAAGGGAGCTGGCTCTTCTCACTATGATAGGTTGTTATGATAAACTTGTGCCTGGCTGAAGTGTGCAACAAATGGCGCCGAGGAGATGAGACCAGCCCCTGAGCTAACGGATTGGCTGGGAGAGTTTGAACCACGCTCAAGTCTTTACTCTAATTGGCCAACAGAGAAGTGGGAAACTTTCTGTCAGAGTATTTGGGTATTGTTTCTGAAACAATGTGTCAGTTGTTTGGGGTGTTCTGCGAGACATCTCAGAGAGCCCGTATATACGAAACATCATATTTACCATTGAAGGTTTTTGCATTAATTAAAATAACTAGTATACCTTAGAAGTCGTGTTGACCTCTTTTGTTCCTGATACCAGATTTGAATTAACGCGACTTTGACAATTGGTGACCCCGACGCGGTCTGGTAGAAGGGACTTCGCTGGATACTGTCCGGCCCATTTGGTCAACTCTTTAATCGAACCGTGTGTTTCACAAACTTCCCGGGCTTCTAAAAAGGTAAGCAGATACCTGTTGTTAAATAACCAAAGATCTGCACATTGGCTTTATCCAAATTAATTTTGTGAAACACCTGTCTGATGTAAGTGAACTAAATTATGAAACTATTATGAGTAGACAAGCACAATATTGTGACATGCAAACCTTTGCTAAATGTGATGTTTAAAAAACCATGGTACCAGAGAGTGTTGATTCTACCGGCAAGGTCCGCTAAGAGACGGCTAGGTTCAGGAGACAATGCTGACATCTACCGGCAAGGTCCGTAATTGCAACATACGGCTAAGGTTCGGAAGATATAGGGAATAATTGGTTTAAGTAATTGCTATCGGCAAGGTTCGTAACTACGACAGTACGACTAGGTTCGAAGAATTACACCGGCAAGGTCCGTAACTACGAGGATACGGCTAAGGTTCGGGAAATTTTAGATATAGGGAATAATTGATTTAAGTAATTGCTATCGGCAAGGTTCGTAACTACGACAGTACGACTAAGGTTCGGAGAATTACACCGGCAAGGTCCGTAACTGAGATACGGCTAGGTTCGGACAATTTTAGATAAATACTAGCGACTGGCAAGGTACATAACTTCGAGGATATGGCTAGGTTCAGCAGATTATTTTTTAAAGATAGTAGAAGAGGCTGTGTGCCCAAATAGATTGTGTGTGGAACATGGGTGTAATTGATGACTGTGTGACATATTTGACTGTATGATAGGATTATGACTGTGTATTGTGAGTGAGGGCGATAACTGTGCACTATTTTTGCTGTGTGATAACTGTATACTACGCTTAACTGTGTACCATTTTTGGCTGTGAATACAAATAATATTTTAAAACAGTAAATAATGAGAATTACAAATAGGAAATAAGGTTTAAATTGCGCAAACGTTAACAAAAGACACCCATAGGAGGTACTATAAAAAGTTAAACAGTGCGAGTGTTGTCGTATGCATGAAAGTGTGAATGATAAACCTGTATACCTTGATAGAAAATACATTGGGAATCATAAGACGTCTGTGGTTGTCCAAACGGTATAATTTGGGAATAAATGTTGGATTTGTGGTTACTCAAACCATATAACCCGTCAGTAACAATCGAAAACATGAAATGAAAAGTGATGAATGAGTGTGACTGAATTAGAACGTTTGAATTGATATATTTGAAATATAACATTTGGTGTTTGACATAGCATAATACTGCTTTTGAATAGTTGTGTCGAAGCAATTCGGTTTAGTATTTGATTTGACGTTTGATGTTTGACCGTGCAAAATACTGGTTAAACAATTAGACCGAAATAATTCGGTTTATAAACGTGCACCAACTTTAACTAATTAGGTGGGAATTATTTGATTTAAATAAATGGACTGGAGTACTTTGAGTAACGGCGGAATATTGGAGGCGCGCTGGGACGAGAAGCAGCTCCTCACAGCTCCTCAAAAAGGTAGAGTTGCGAGGGGAGGGGCTGGAGAGAGCGAAAGTGTGGCTTTTGGAGCCAGAAAAGACTGGCAGTTGGCTGGGAACGCATGTGGGTATCTGACGAGAGAGTGTTCTAAACTTGCTCCCCCCCGTG